GAAGTATGGGGAGATGTACCTTCCACGAAGCTGCAGCTGCAGCAACCATGCAGTCTGAAAGCACACTTTATAGAGAGTACCCGCGGTCCAGCTGCATGCCTTCCACCACCTCAAAAGGTCGAGAAACCGCTAAACGACTCTGTGATGCGGTGTGATGCAAGACATGGGCCTCAAGCTCGTGATCCATGGTTTTGCCATCAGACCTACGGATGCATGCCAGGATAAGCAGGAAGGACACCTGCGTGCTTCATGGAGTTGCTTCCAGATCCGCTTGGAGCAGGGCACGGTGATGGTCCCATCCTTGCCGACCTGTCAACAGTCAAGCTGCAAACCTTCTCGATACCCTCTGAGGCTGCCTTCTCAAAAGCTTCTGTAATCATCTTGCCGATGTGCTCGTCGCCATTGGCTGCAATGGTAGCGACCTCGAGACTGCTTCCAACGATGGAACGGTCCAACTCCCACACTTGTGCGCAGCAGCCGGGCATCTCGCACTCTTGATTTTGTCAGGAGTCTCGATCATGGTCGCTTGGCTTGAGAGATCCTCCACAAGTTCACAAACGTATCAGCTCACTACATTGAGCACGGCGCCGGCTTGTGACTCTGAAAGCGGGTCCTCTAAGACGATTTTCGCGGCATGGTCCATGCCACGTTTGATGTCCATCCTGTTCAGTCAGGCTTCGACGGAACTCGCTGCTGCTGATGCTCCCCGGGCGGCCGACGGATTCATTCCGGCTGCCACCGCCTGCAACCAAGCTCACACTTCCCAGCCAAAGCCCTTGTCTTTGCCAGCGTCGCCTTGCAACCTTCTCTGAAGATGGCCCCTTGGCGCGACTCCAAGTCACTCTGCTAACGTCAGCTTTGGCAAGCTGCATACTTCACCATTCTGAAATTAAGCACTCGACGCGCCAGAACGGTTGCAGTGGTCGTGCCATCGCCAGCTACGTCGTTCGTCTTGCTGGCAACCTAACACCAACCAGCTTGTCAAGTCGAATCAACATTCATGCACACGTGAAACATGCACATCTATCTCTGCTCCCCTGAAGCTGTACATGCTCATGCTCGCCTCTAGCACAGACGCATGCGTGCATTTTCGTGCGCCTACCCACATACCTACACACCCGCTCTAGCTACTTGCCTACCTACATGCCATTACATACCTAACTTTTAGAGAGCGCAGCTTTTGAAGTGTCCGTGGCAGGTCGCGAACCTGTCGGCGGTGTGCAAGAAACAAGGTACAACAGCAATACAAAGATGTGTCAACAGCCTAGCATCTAGCTCAAATGTCTGTACTTCGTGTTTTGGCTGATGGTTTCGCATGTTTTGCTGTTGCTTGAGGCTTGGGTTTTTGTGTGGCTACAATATCACGACCTTTGATACGAAAACATCGACGCGTCGAAATTGCGAGGAAACAACGATTTGCAAAGGCGTCTGTGAGGATCAAGCCTAGCTAGAAAGCCCGAGCTTGCACAACATAGATACATCGCGTGTTTTGGAAACTTCCGTCTTGTGCAATCTGGCGGCACGTTAACGAGGCATGCACAATACAAAGTTTTCAAAGCGGGAGATATCAAAGCATCTGCAGGCTCAACGTATGCTAACAACCAGAATCCATGCATTTAGGCGACAAACTTGATGTCATGATCGCCAGGACTTCTGTAACCTGGTGTGGCTGAGGCTTGCACATTGTGGCTCTTGTCTAGCCTTCGAAGTGCTGATTGATCGTGGTTGCATTTTTTGCCAGGTGACATCTGAACACGTCTGCAGGGCTCCAAAAACATGCGAACCTGCGTCCGATACTGGTACCCCGACACAAAACATCTCACATCTTGTTGGGAAACGGAAAGCTTTGTACTCCTGATTAACATGCACAAGAACTTTGCTGATGCAATGTCTCCGGAGCAGTGGGTCCCTCTGCAATTTTCCGAGATCCCCCCCGGTGTCAGGCTTGGCACGCCCCTCTCCTCCTTCCAACTTCAACCTGTTCTGATGCCCGTTGAACCCCGTGGGAGGGAAGAGCAGTGTCGCTCCAACGCTGTCGGGCAGGGAGGAACATTGTCGCTCAACCTGGGGGAGGCAGGGGGAGAATACCATGAGAAGGGGGGCCGAGAGGGGAGAGATCTTGCGATGCTGACACATATACCGTGCGTGCTTATCAGGGTCTGGAAGCTCCAAGATAAGTCATCTTCGTTTCATTACAGAAACGTGCAGCTGTGAAATTTCGCCATGAAGAACAAAAACCCTCTCTTCAACAGATCTCTGTGCATCAAGAAACAGAAGAAGTATCTGATCGTAAGTACGAGCTCTCTGCTGTCAGGTCGTTGTCGACAGAGACTCTGGGGGTTGCTCTTCGCAGAAAGTTTGCTTTCCGAGATGTACGTCGGGAGCTGCTTCGCAAACTTGTTCGATGAATGACTGCACTGACAGATGGGTGTAGGTAGAGGTCCCGAATGACAGAATCACGAGCAATCTCATACACATCGCCCCCCAAAGGCAATGTCGTCTACTTGTTCAACGAATGATTGCTTTCAATCGCTTACCCTGGAAACACGAGAAGGTGACCATCCTTCGAGTTACAGAATCCCACTGTGTTAACAATGATGAATACGGCCCTACACAACTCTTCATGTACGCATCAGGATCCACCAACTGAGGGGCAAAAACACTTCGGATTGAGACCCCGTTCGCCCGTTTGGTAGTTGCTACCTTGGGTCGGGTTGAGTGCAAGTCTGTTGGTAGTTCCTAGCATTGCAGCGGTCCGAACGCTTCGACTCCAACATGCACCAGTGTTCACAAGATCGATCGGCAGTTACTATCTGCTTGGACCGCTTATGCCCTTGACATCCTGTAATGAAGCACAGCAGAGATCAGGAGCATCAGAAGTATTGTACATTGTACATACTGCAAGAGCGCATCTGTAGATCTGTAAAAGGCCATACATGAACTATGGCTACATCCATCGAAAGCGCTTCTGAATAGCTCAAACGTTTGAATGCTCCCCTGTTTTGCAAGAGCTTTTCATAAAGCAAACTGCACGAGCAGTTGTGTTCGTTCAGGGAGGGCTAAGCTTCTGCATTTCTTGTGCTTCACTGGTCCAGACCTACTTGATTTTCTGATCTTTGAGAAGCTAATCCACGACTCAGCCCATGTACTTCTGCACAATCTTGAATTTGGGATCTTGCCCGGATTGGAGTTCAAGCTTTCAATCTGGATTCAACTTTGTGGTTGAGGGCTGGTGATTTATGTGCCAGGACATTTGGTTTGGACAGAATTTGAGAGGCGCAGTGGGCATGAAGACACGCACGGAAATGGTGGATACGCCTGTTTGCATTTCAACTGCGAGGAGAGTGAGTACCACAGTTGAGTGCATGTGCGTGCTTACCTACTGTAAAGAGATTGGAACGCACAGTCGAAAAGAAGTCCCATGCAGGAAGGCAACTTGCATAGATTGTGAGACGTTGCTGTACACGCCTGATTCTATGTTGTGACCAGGTACCATGTGGGGCGCAGCGATGCTTTCCGATCTGGGGTGCCAGATTACACCCACATCGTTACTGCCGAAGGTTTCTTGCCAGCAAAGTACCGGGTGTAGTCACCATGAAAACATGATGGAATCTCGTGCAGTCTTCTCTCCTGACTGATTCTATTCAGGCCTTCACGCTACATAATAGACAATCTTGTCACGCCCCTTGTGGGCCTTCATAGCCCCGAAGACTGATAGACACCGATAGAGTTGAACAGGACGCGTTGGCAGCCAGAATTCACAGAGAGAATGATGTGTCCAAAAGCCAGGAAGACTTTAAAAAAATACACTTTGGAAAAAGACTCAAATGAGGTAAACAAAAGGCTCACTGAGGCGACTGCTTGCAGGAGATAGTCTTAAGCATTTCTTAAGCTCATCATGAGATGAAGCACTTATTGCACCCGTTTGGTCAATCAAACTCTTCGCACATCGCACATGCACGACTCGACGTGAAAAACACAATGGCTTGGGCTTCGGACGGTCTTCACAAGCTGTGCACCCACGTTGATCATTGGACTGGACCTTGGAGCTCAGGAGCTCCAAGAGAGCAAGCCGCTGTCAAACACTGTTACCGAGGCTTCGGGGCTTCGGCTTCAAGTCAATCGACTTGGCTACTGTAACGCCGTCCTTCGTGACCTGGCTCTTTGTTTGGGGCATCCTCCAATGACAAGCCAGTGAAGCATGTGGGGCCCCATGCACATACGCACACGGTAGCGCTGCATCACATAACATGCCGCCTTCGGCGCACCAAAAGATTGCTCGATCACCACGTTTCTGCCCTCACAAACCAGAGAAGCAAAAGAGAGGTCGACTACGGCTTGTGCGGGACATGTGGGGCCCGCACTTTTGGTCCCATGGTCACGGCGACGGCATCGGCCAAGCGGTTGCAACCTGTCATGCTTGAATATTCCAAATATGCTCTGATAACTCTGATGTTCTCTGTTCTCAAGGCCTTCGAGCATCAAAGCCCGTGCTTCGCTCCCATGGCGGATATCCTCAATGCTTCAGATTACAAAGCCACTCAGGAACAGACATCTCCTGAAAATGTGTCCTTGGCGGCCGCAAAACTTCTGGCAGTTGCTGCCAGTACTGGTCGCGTCTGGCAGAGAAACAAGCTGCTTAAACACCCCGCAGGGTGATGGTGGTGACGTGGCCATGCTCAGACATTAGCACCCGACAGGAATTCGCCGCAGTGTCGAAAGCATGGCTGCCTGATTCGTAACAAACCCGAGCATGAAACCAGGGGGCAGAGACTCTGAGGTATTGGCGGGTGGACTCTCGCGGCTCCGCTCCCTTGAACCTCTCCGCGCTGCAACCGCTGCAACGTGGCCCGGTGCTCTGCGGCCCAAAAAGTCAAAGCTCTGCGAAGTTGCAACTACACGCAGGCAACCGGCCCTTTCAGCGTTCGTTTGCAATTCTCCGCAACCAAGACTCTGTGGTTGGGCTATGAAGTGAAACTGTCTTTGTGATATTGTGGCAATCACGGAGCACTCGGATGTCCAGCCCTGCAGGTCTCATGCAACATGCGCCGGTGATTGTTCAGCATGAAAAGGCTACCGCCGCATGACACACGCCCCGCCGAGGCAGGCAGAACGGAGCAACGTCGACGTGGTTTACTGCGCTGACCTGCGCTTCCACTCGAGTCCGCCCACCAAATGACACATCCTGCACCCTCCCATCGTCTCCAACCTACCCTGGCCTGTGGCACGGGGTGTCCCAGAGGTGCTGCGAGTGGCACCTGAGACTGTGACGACTAAGGCCAATAAGAAGCATTAACGGATGAAAATCGTGCACGTGTCTTGAACTACATCAGCTATCTCGCATGTTTCGAATTGTAAAGCTGTCAACAAATGCAGGGTCGTGACAGTGAAACGATGCGACGTGTTACTGTAAGCAACGAAGCGGAACAACGTGGCGTGGGGAGGTCTTGCTTAAAACCAGTGCTGCAAAGTAACCAGATATTCGATTCGAAACCCCGGCCCAACCCCTGTCTACGACCACGACCACGACGACAACGACGACAACCACAACCACAACCACAACCACAACCACAACAGCAACAACAACAACAACAGCAGCAGCAGCAACAGCAGCAACAGCAGCAACAACAACAACAACAACAACAACAACGGCAACAATAACAACAACACGACCAACAAAGTGTGCTCTGACCACACATGTGCGACACTGCATGCAAAAATAAAGCGTCCTGCTGTTGCTGACTCCACAACTTGTCCAGGCTGAAAGGCTAAACTGACACAGGAAAAACAGCACGGCCGGAAGATATGAAAATATTGCGGAAGTACTACTATCGTATACAGGCCGTCCTCGCCCGTCGGATGCCTACTGCCATATGGGACTTGCACTTGTAGCTTGGCTTGTTACCACGACATTGCTCTAGGCACGGTGTCCGACGCTACACCTGGCAGGGGTCTATGGTGTATCGGCTCTAGCAGCCTCTCGACGCCGGACATGTCTCCCTGAGCATCACAAAAGGAAGACGTGGGAGAAGACAGGATGAACACAAAGGTCTCTGCTCCTGCTACCTCACAGCTGGACTCGACAGCAACGCTATAAATTCCCCATTTAACCCAGCAACAAACGTGAGATGACCGCTGCATGCTGTTTAGCAAATGGAGTCGCAAGCTAGACCTAGACATGAGTGCTTGACAAAAGCTGATCCAACTGCTGGAAGAAGCCACTATCAAGTTGACAGCACTCTAAGCCTCTAAGCCCAGCGCCTGTGACGTGAGGACAGTTCCCTGGCCTAGCAGTGCAACTCGTGCCACGTTGTGTTTCCCCGCCTCTGTCACGCAAGGGCCACACAGGAAGCCCCCGGAACGAAGCCAACCGGCATCGCTTGAAGAGGCGGCCTTCAAGTTATCGGAAAAAGCCGCGCATGCATGGCTTGGCAAACCGTTTGAATAAGAGCGCGGCCCTGCCTCGGCCCACTGGCCGAAGCAGGGCAGTAAGCCTTCCAGAGCAAGCGCGCCAACCACGGGGAATTCAACTACGGTGAATACGGTTTCCTCAAGATTCTCAAAGCACCTTCTTTAGTGTGCTGACAAACTGGGTGTTCAAGAGCAAGGAGCGGCAGGACAGTTTTACAGTTTTCGCTAGCCGCACGGTCGAGTGCATGTCGAAAGTCTCGCTGTGCTCCCACGAGGTTGCTTCAAAACCTTTCGCTGCCAACATCAATCTAATCTCCGTCCGCTGCACTCAGTGCCGGCCTGTAGCTGTGGATTCGCAGGGCCTGCGCTAACCACACCCCGAAAGAGACATTCTCACGACGGTTGTCATGCTCGTCCTTCCTCAGGATTGCATGCCACTTGCCTGTGTAGCCGGCATAGGCTGGTGCATACGGACTTGAAGACCACTGCGCAGGCCTCAGGGTATGAGAAGCAGATCAATTCAAGTCTCTACATTTTTCCTAAGCATTGTAAGACACACGCAACGGAGCACGAGCGACTGATGGGCCTGCTACACAAAGCAAAGAGGTCTCCCCTTCATGCCGTCAGGAATCTGAGAGATGAGGGAGGACACATCCCGATGCCTGGCAGTGCTTGCCTTTTCCAATCCGACATCCGGCGCGGTGGTAATCCTAGCAGCCCTGGCCCTGGCTGTGCACACTCAGCTTTGGCAAAGGCCACCTTGAAACTGCGCTCGCATCCTGATTTGTACAGGCTTCATGGCTTCCGAAAACCATTTTGCACAGACGTTGGCGACTCTAGGCGGGCCAACTACACTGAAACATGCTCTGAGGTCGACACGCCCTTCGAAGCATCAGCTACACATCCAAAGATTACGGATTGGTGATCACTCGTTGAAGATGAATCGCTTGAACCACTTCTCCCTTTGCACATCACCCAGATTTGCAGACCTGGCATCCGCAAGGCTGTCGATTGTTCCGCCTGCAAACTGCCAGCGCTCGTCCACGGGAACTTTGACGACCTCACGGACGTCGACGTCGGTCACTTCGAAGGCTCCTAGCTCCAGGAGGCGTTCCAGCATGCCAGGGAAGAGGATCGTGAAGCCGCGGAACTGTTCGTCGCTGCCTTGCAGCTTGATGTCCGGACCCTGTGGGCCGCCCCAGTAGACAGGTCCGCCCCCTTCACGGCCCAAGGCCGGCCCGTTGAGGAGGGCGACCATGGCCACACCCGACTCACTCCTTTCGGAGTCCTCCGGCTTGATCAAAACCACCACGGACTTGTGGAAGTACTGGGCTGGCAAAAAGCGTCTCAGGTCGAAGGCAGTGTCTTCTGCAGGTTTGCCAAGTAGCCTGGACTGGGAAAACTCTGCGATCGTCTGACTTAGCTTTGAGCACAGGATCGCTCAGCTTCGCTATTTCTATGAGGCGCCATGCAGCTTCCAGATCTCTAGTTGCGCTACACCCTTTTGCTACAGGCCTGTCGAATATGGTAGAGTCTTTGGTGGGACAGACTGGAGCCAAGCAGCCAAGCGGTGGCTGAGCCGCGCAACACCGTTCCATGGCTGAGAGTGCCCGACTTGGCAGACTTTAACGCATTCTGCAAGCCTTTAACGACCTCAGACTCTGGACGCTCGGGGCTGTACCTGGTCGGGATAAGGCACCGGTTGATCCAGCGTCGCAACATCTCGTCAGTGTGTTCATTGTCACCTGTCGAATTGAAGTCTGCGAGGCTTTGTTCATACTTTGGCCCCAGGGCTGTGTACAGTCTTTCCCACATCTCAATGCCATCCCCGACGTCATCTGCGGTGAAGACGTCACCACTCGATGCCTGTTCGATGCGTTTGCGCAAGCTGGACTGGGCCGTTCTTAATTCGCCTAGAAGCGTTCGCGGATCTATAGAGGCCATTGTCCATGTATTGGAACGGTCTAGTTCACCCTGCAATTGCCCAGGACTCCAACCACAGTAGCCAACAAGCAGCAAGAAGTCGTCCTTGTCTGCCTCTCCGGTGGCTACGAGCTTCTTGGCGTCTTCAAGGCCTATCGAGTATACTCCCTGAGTGATCTTTTCACTGCGATCTGCCAGCGACTTCAAGCCATGCAGAACGGAATATTCGGGAGGGATATCCTCGCGCTCGTTGATGCCTTGGCAGTCACCACCACACCATACATTCCAGTCATCTGCTCCTTCATGAGAGAAATTCACAAGGTTTTTGAACTGAGTCTCCACGTCAGCGGTGCTGAAAGCCGTGGGTCTGTTCAGAATGACCCCCTTCGTAAAGTCATCAGTGTGTGTCACAAGAAAAATGACATTCTTGTGAAAGTATTGCTGATTGATGGCAAAATGATCATTCGGTGCGGACAACAGGATGGATCCCTGCTCTATAACGGGCATCTCGTAGGCCCATTGCTCCGCCTTCTTCTGCGAGATTGCATCTGCATTTGCTCCAGCTCCCTGCTCTTGCTGCACCAGCCGTGCACGGAATTCTTGCCAATCCTGCGAATCTGCAATTTCAGTGTCTGCCGTATCTGCATCATCTTCTGGTGATCCTTCCTGAGCAAGCCTGATGACGCGGGTGCGAAGATCGCATCGTTCACGTCGAAAGCATCCCACCGCCAATCTTGCCCTCCACGCCTGAAAGGCGGTCACAGGTGCTAGCAAGGCCAGGACCGTGCAGAAGGCGCATGCGCTTGCAGCCTTCGCAACCTTATGCCGCTGTCTCGCCCTCATGGCGGCAGTTGTGTGAGCTTGAGCTGAGGCAAACAACCGGTTGCCGATGGTTGCAGCAATCCATTCAGTGACGTGCAATTTTGACACCTTGGCCATGAACCTGCCACTCTCCACCTTCCGTCTCTAACAACTTCAGCTTGCACTGCAGCCTTGTGCACACTGTTGCACACTGCCTGGTATCGCTGGGCTCATTGAACTCTTGGCTGGCTGCTTGCCTCGATTCGCCACCTGAGCAAGCAAATGCCCAGCCTTCCTGACCGTCATCCTGCATGCTTGGGTCTGCTCAAGTGCTACGTGCTTGAGTAGGCGGCAAAGCTGTGTTGGGGAGGTCCTGTCAAGTTTTGGTGGCTTCTGCCTTTTTAACCAATGCCCTCGAGCACACTGCAAGTCCTTGCTGTGCGTGTGCAGGCCGCATGGGAGGTGCCTGGCTCTGAACCAATCCGCTGGGTGCTGATGCCTGGCGACACCCAGTACCCACTTCCCGCCACGTAGACCCTCGACCGCACCAAGACAACAGCACCTCCTGCATAACCACGACGCTGGCTGAACTGAGTGCCGCCGTGATTGAAGGCTTCTTCGCCTTCGAACCATACATGGCTGACTTTTCGGCAAGAACTGGCATGCCACACAGGCCTCCAAGTCGCGCCGGTAGCCATAGTCGTGGAACCTCGGAAGTACAAACCTCTCCTTCCTGCGTGTAACATGCTGACAAAACTTCCTGTCATAAACTTCCGTGCAGAATCAAGTGCTGAGCCCCTCACGCTGCCAGCAACGTTTTATCGCCAGTCACCTGGATGGTGCAGGCAAGCAGCGAAGACTTGAAATCGTCTAGCGCATTGAAAGTCTACTGCGTTGGCACGTGCCCGGCCTTGTGTCTTTCGGCCGGAACCATGAACTTGTCATCAGCACCCGGAAAGTCATCGAAGTTGGACGTGTCAAGAGGACCTTTGACCTGCGGGTGGGGCAGGTGTTCACGTTATGCTGATTCCACGGGTTCCGTCGACGCGATCGAGGGGCAATCGGCTTGATGGGCGGGGCCATGCTGCGAAGCCGTTTGAAGTCCAGGCCCTGCGGAAGCACTGTTGTTCACAAGTCGGCATGTCACTGCTCCTCTTGCTGTCTGAATCATGGAAGGTGATTGGAGCTTTGGGATCCGGCTTGAAAGAAGGGATGCACTCGTATCTGATCTGCTGACAAACGGTCCTCAGTCAGACTCAGTCACAGGACTGCCTAAGCGCCTACGCCAGCAAGCAAGCAAGCACGGAAACCTGGGGAATCGCGAGGTTTAGGACTGCTTTCAAGTCTCGGTGGGATCGCAGATGAGGCCTTTGAGGAGATCGCGAGCCTCTTCAAGAGAAGGTTCTTCTGACAGTCTGTATTACTCTGACACGGCCTCCGAGCTGACATGCGGATCTGGTGGTATGTGGAACCATCTCCGCCAGTGCATAACTCTGGCAGATGTCACCTTGTGAAGTTGAGCTCCACTGCAAGACCTTCTAGGCCTCAAGAAAGCCCCTGGCTGATGGGTCGTGTCGCTCATCGCTGAACGGCGGACCACCGAAGAGCATCTGTGGTCAGGGCCCGCAGGGCACTGCCCCACTACTTCAACATCAACCCTACTCCGACCTCGAACATGATGATCCCCAGCGACCACATGTCACACTCCTTTCCATATGGTGCCTTCTTGTAGACCTGCCAGAGATCTGAAGAAGTTGCTCTATGCTGAGAAATCGCCTCCACTGCCTCTGGTCCCATGTAGTCGGGCCTGGCATCCGGAAAGAAGCGATGCACCGCAAGCTGGAACACTGGACCATCGAGCATGATCCCAAAGAGCAAGCACGTCAGAGGGACGTTCCCACCTAGCGACGACCAAGTCAACACGAGATCATGCATGGACGAAACAACTATGGCTCCGGCTACCGACTGCATCTTTTCTCGAGGAGGATGCCTTGCACGTCTGTACGAAGGGCCTGACATCAAACGGTACCTGTGCTAATGCCACTTCCGCATCTCCGCCAATGGTGGCCATGTTGCTGCTCTGGCTGTCTGCACTGCTGCCAGTAGGAACACCTGGACGAGTGCAGGAAACACAGGCGCGATGCGAGCGATGCGAGCGGCTCCAACATCTTCCGTCCTTCACCCTGGGCAGGCTCCGGGGGCTGGTACTTGCACAAGCCAAAGTCCTCGCGGAAGCAAAATGCAGCTGCAGATGGGACTTGTGTTTCGTGGTGCAAGGCTGTCTAACACAATAACATTCAGTCACCATCGGCTGAGAATCCGGCGAGGAGGTGAATGTGACCTTCCAAAACGGGCAGCAGCAATCCAACAGATGCGAGGCGAGTGTAATGCAGGTGTTTCTACAGAACTGTCCTGAACGGACTTCGAACTTAGCAAGAAAGAAATGATGCAAGTAGCGCCCGGGTAGACAGCGATTTCGCGCACCAAAACCCCGACATCAGTCACCAAAACCCCGGGTTCAAGCACCACGCCTGCTTCAGTCACCAGAAACCCCTGGCTCAGCCACGACGTCAGCACCACCGAATACAAGCAGCAATGCTGATCTGACTTCCCCAATGAACCCCTACCTTCCTATCCTGCCCTACCCGATCCTTCCCAACCCGACCCTAACCTCACACCCCAATCCTCTCCCACCCCACCCAACCCTGCCCTGCCACCTGCTCCACGTTGCCCTGCCTCACCCCCATAGCCTGCCCGTAAACCTACCCTACCCACCTTGCAAAGCACTTGCAAGCGCCCCACCCTGCCCGATGCCTGTCATGTTTCCACCATACCCCTACCCCACCCTTCCACAGCACTTCCTCACAAGCCTGCCCTGTCCTACCCGATCCGACCCTACCTACTTTTCCCACCACTATGAGCCCCCCATGAGCTCCCCACCCTGCCCTACCCTACCTTCTCCAAACCCCCACCCTACAAAGCACTTCCTCATGAGCCTGCACTGCCCTACCCGATCCTTCCCTACCATACCTGCCCGCCCGATCCTTCCACCTACGGAACCCGACAAAAGCTGTTCAATCCCCTCCACCCACAGGCAAGCGAAACTACCCAGCCCACCCACCCTACCCTAATGGTTTGCCCGACCCTGCCCCTAAAGCCTGCCCCTGTCCTGCGAAACCACCCCACCCCACCCTACGAACCCTACCTGTCATGTTTCCACCATACCCCACCATACCCCACCCTACCCTACCCTACCCTAACCTACCCTACCCTCCAAAGCACTGCCTCATGAGCCCCTGCCCTCTCTTTGGTGCAAGGTGCTGTGTCGGTGCTTGTTACTGGTGCTGGTCGTGCTTGAAGCATGGTGCGTGAAGCTTGGTTGCTTGAAGCGCGGCCGGTTGCAGAAGCAGGGAACTACGGTAGCGCCCGCAGAGTGTGCTCCAGCAATCGGGCTGTTCGGAATTTTGAGGGTGTAGGGTGTAGAGACGACCAGATAGACTTACGCCGCCTCCTTTAGCGTTGGAAGCTCAGGTGCTAGGCCCGACGGTCTGGGTTGGGGTGGGGTGCATGAACTGACGACTGCACGCTCATCAACTTGGGATGCCAACATTCACTGGGCTACCTGGACAAATAGCACCCAATGGACGGACTGCCTTCATAGAACCTCATGACTGAGTTGCATGTGAATGGGATTTCCCGCACTGAGGTCGCGGGCCATCAATGTCAAAGACGATGTTGTCCGGCTTAATGTCGCGGTGAATGTAGTGCAAATTCGTGTGGATGTAATCAATGGCCTATGCAAGGGAAACATAATGAACATTGCCGATTCAGCATGGCCCGTGAAGCATGCAGCCCAAGTTTCCTCCACAAGTTCAGCAATGTAAAACCGTGTCTCCTCCTCCGAGAAGGTGTCCTTGCATGGCAAACGGAAGACTGAGCGGTTGCAACTGCGAGTTACAATCAGCTCATCCAAAACACCTTACATGAAAGTCCTTGCGCATCAGATGGGTCATGAGGTCTCCACCAGGCAGGTAACTGCGGAGTCAGGTCTACATTCCACCATGCAACTCATGCAACTCAAGCGACTTCCACGCCAGCATGGTGCTTCGAGTGGGGGGCACTCCATAACCATGTACAGATACTGGTCATCTTGAAACGTGTAGTGCAGCCCAATAACCCAATCGTCCTCGACAAAGTCTGTTGCATAAATGAATGTGTGACATCACCACTTTCCCGCTCCCGCAGATATCCAACCGTCCTTGGCCGAGCTGAGTGCCTCCTTTTCGGCACGCACGTGGTGGACCTTTGCAAGGCAAGCACGATTCTGCTTGGGGGGGCCAAGCATCTAGCACCTGGTTCTTAAAGACCATCTCTTTCTTGTTCATCTGCTTCATGGCCCGGATCTCTCCGGTGCCCTCGGATCCAGCAAACACGTCCGAGCATTTGGAGCTGCGACTGCTGCGCATTCCCTACAGACGCACCACGAACCTTTTTAGCCTCGGGTCGGGAAGTCTGTTTGTCCGGAAGCACATGTCTCAGCTCATCCAAACATCTTGGAATACATGGCTTTCTCTTGCTTCTTCTCCCTCTTCTCGGCATCGTTGGCTTTCTTAACGAGCTGCTCTGCCTCCTTGTTGCCTGAATCTAACTCCAGAGTGCGCTTTGCATCCTCAGCGCAGGCTTTGAAGTTGTGCAAGGCAAACTCGGCCTGGGCCCTTCGAAAGATAGCCTTAATGTTCTTGGCATCATACTGCAACACCTTCGTGCAGTCGAACTTGGCCGCGTCGTGCTCGCCGATCTTCAAGCGAGCCATGGCACAGTTGTTCAGCAGCGCGATGGCCAGCTGCTTATCTGCATCGGAGAGCTGAAGAGGCTCCTGAGAGCCCTTGTCCCCACCATGATCTCCATCGCATGGAATGCCACCATGGCTGTGACCTCCCTCGTCCTCTGCATCAGGATCATAGGTGATGTACTCTGCACCGTCTTCATATCGGTTCACTGCCGTAGGGAAGTCGCCCTGCTTGAAGGCTTCTGTGCCCATCTCCTTCATCTTCATCGCGTGTTCGCGACGCTCCTCTGCTGTCATCATTGCTGGCGGCTTCACCTTCTCTTTCCAAGAAAAAAGCTCAACCTCAAAATTCAACGTGGCACCTCCAGGGATCTTGGGCGGACTGCCACGCTCCCCATAAGCATAGTCAGCGCTGCAACGCAAGATGCACTTCTCGCCTCGCTTCATGCTGATGATGCCCTGATCCCAACCTTTGATTACTTGCCCCACTCCCACATCGAACTTGAACTTGCTGTCGCGGTCCCGTGAGGAGTCGAACTTGCTCCCATCTGAATGAAGGGTGCCGACATAATGCACCTCTACCGACGACCCTGGAGTTGGTGACGCGTCACCATGACCCTCCACTAGGATCTTCTTGAGCAGACCCCCATCTTTCTCCTCCGAGATGTCCACGAAACCCTCGTCCGCAGCCATTGCCAATGAATGGTGGGAGGTGCTTCAAGTTTGTGCTGCAAAATTTGGGCTCTTGTGCAAGTCGATGTGTGCTCTTGTGGGGCCCACGAGAATTCGAGCCGAGCTCTTGAAGGCAAAAAAGCGGAAATCACTGCTGAAGCCCGACAAGCATGGCTGACACAGATAGGCCTTGTGGCGACACAGCCTGACTATACCGAAGGCACCGGTGCCGATGACCTCGATCCAGACTTGACACAGGTGCAGGTCAAACCTTCGGTATTTGGTCACGGTCACGATGTTTATGGGACAGTTCCATGCCTTCAGCAGCTCGAAGTCGCCAATAGTTATTTCTTTGCGGCTGTCTCTCCAATATGCATCCTGTCCAGAACTCGAGTATGCTCAAATTGAGGTGCGATGAAGGAACATCAATGCATTCTCCTGTTGAGCAGCATAGTTGCGTTTGATGCACTCTTTTTGCTCCTCTGGAATGTCCTGACAACATTACACTGTCACGGCAACGATGCAAGTCGGTCTCCCGCCTGGGACTTTAGCTGATCCCGAAGTTTCTCTGACTCCGACCGCCGTTCCTGCTCGCACTTGCAATCTGCGAACATCTGTCACCGATCCCCTGGCCAGAAGTCCTGGTAGTTGTTGAAGCGCTTAACCTTACACAGGGTCTCGCAATATGGGTTTCAGATGGTTTCGGGCATGCTCGTTTCACTGGGTCCAAGTCCTTGTTGCCTTCAATCGACTTTTTCCAGGCATCAAGCCTCAACAGGCGTGGCAACATAGAAGGCCGTGCAAGTCGGCCTCTGCATGGCCATCACAGAAGAAGGATTGGACCTGACGTTGGTCGGTGGCGGCTCCTGTCCGAATCTGTCTAATGCCGCCTACAGTAGACTACACAACTACGCATGCTACTGCAGCAAGCTCCGCCAGGAGCCTTAACCGGTGAGGCAGATGCCGGAGGGACTGCAAGCGTTTTCTGCATCTCGCTGATGGAAAACCTGACCTGGCCACCGGTGCCCCGGTGCTCTGCCGTCCTCTGACGAGTGAAAGGTTTTCATCACTGCTCAGGAGCAGGCACCCAGGCACCAGAATCAGTAGGGTACTACTTATGGCTCAAAATACACCTAAGAGGCGGAGCTCCCGCAATCCCTTGGGCCACTGCGTCGCAATGCAATGCTGAAAGAAATCGAAGTGAAGCTGGCGGTGGCAACGCGACCGTACTCACCACAGGAATTTCATGCAAATCCTTTGTCGTTCACTGGCCTGCACTTTGCGCGAACGGTACAAACACTTCTGTCTGCCGACATCTCTTCTGCGCATCGCTTGGCATTGCAGGAGAGCTGTGTCGCATGCGTGTGCGACCCTGCAGACTCGCTAGTGCCCGTGCAGTGTGCTATGCACATCGAATATTTTCGTTGAACGTCTGAAATTCGGAGTCTTCCCTTGCCCTTGTGTTTTTGCGGCCCCTCAGCCGATGTTCAGCCGGAACATATCATTGTGGCAATAGTAGTTCCTGAGGCTTGGGATGTGGAGTGCCGCAGGCGAGATCAGGCGAATTTGTATTCGAGAATGTCCAATCCAAGATGCCCAGTAGGGCCCTTCATGAGCTGGAAGACTTGTGCAAACCTCTGGAGCTGGCAGAGAGGTGGTTTGGTTTTGGAGTGTCGTGCGTGCACAGCGGCTGCCGAGGCTGCAGCTTCAGTGGATTCGCGTTGTCGTCTACCAGGAGATTCCCAGTGATGAAGATCACTACACCTCGCTGTGAAGGGCCCCACACGTTCAAGGCTACTTGAACCTCTGGCACGAACCTGAAAAACAGGCTTCCCGAACAGCTGGAGACGAGGCAGGCACCATCATTCGCCGAGGGCTGACAGTCGCACTTTACAATCTGGTGCTGCACCTGCAACCCCCGCCCCCGGATTCGTTCACAGCCCACGGCTGTCAGAAGCCATGACGCGACCCACCGCCCTCACATCAATGTTATCTAATCGAACCCCGGCCCCCTCCGAGTCGTTCACGCTATCATTCTCCGTCTACATGAAGGAAAACAAGGGATCACGGGCGGCCTTCTGGAAGGGCAAGCTGACAATCTTTTGGCAAATTGCATCTGCGCCTATGCTCCACATGTTGCTATGGATCCAGAACAATTGAATCTGCAAAACGACAGTTCATCACGAGGAGGCACCTTGGAACTGCTCGCCTTCGAAAGTCAGCATCGACTGCTGGGAATACAGGGGGTGCAAGCCGGGCCTGCAAGCTTTCATAGCCAAGGCCATGACACGGCAGTTTCGTGGATCCGATGGCACATTGCATATTCCATGACAGGCTGTTTCCGCTTGGAGAGTACAGGATTCAGCAGAACACAAGATTCTTCACAGGCTCAGAGACAGCCGTATAAACAGTTATGTACAAGCTCATTGACTAAGTCAAATCTGTGGCACGAAGCTCACCTCAGCTGTTGCCAGCACATCTTGCTGCAGCGTGCATGCTCTTGTGAAAGCCCACCACTCAGTCCTTGGACGTGTGCACCTTCAGGTAGAAAAAACTGTGGACCCACTCAAGTTGCAGCAAATCATGCCCAAGGGAACAGCTGCTTACAGCGGCTCAGGTTCAACCTGTTTCACAGCTTTGGCACCTGCGTGGACCCTAAAAGCGCTGCACCATCCAGCTGCTTCGCCTGCATTCAAGCCACCCATGCAACGCAGGTAACGACACCAACAACCGCTAGACTGCGAACAATAACCCCCGCCATGCGCACGAGTGCTTGTGTGAAAAACTCGAAAGCTGCGGGTTTGTAACGATGCAAAGAAGCAAAAGGAACATGCTAGCGATGCCCGCGCTCGCGTTGTGGAGCAGGATCTCCTTGCATTTTGTTGCACCGCCCCCAACCCCCCCCTCCCAACCTCCCCCCCCAGGCCCGCCCCTGGCTCCCTCGCACTCCATCCTACCGTAGCTGCGCTCATTCCTTGCTTCATTCCTTCCGTTTCCTGCGTTTGAGCCCGCGCCTGACCGGGCCGAGGCAGACGTGCTTAGACGTATTCGGACATCTTCATAACCTCTGCTCCGAACGACCCGTGGGTTTGACAGGGGGCCTGCTTGATTCGCTTCGGCGATATGTCGATGCCTCGGGGGCTTTCTCGGGCACGATGCGAAGCACACGTTCAAGATCCATTGATGCATCGCTAAATCAATCCAGGCGGGACACCGAGAGCATCGAGGCCATACCTCGGAGCTCATTCAGAAAATCACAACTCAGCCCTTCGTTCAAGCTGAGGTTCCGGCTCGTTCGCTATTGCCAGCACTGTGCCGGCACCACAGAAGGGGTCGATCACTGTTCGGACGCCTTCCGCAAACATATCTTACTGCCTCCTAAGCCCTGGCTCTGGGAAAACATTGAAGTGCAAGTCATGCCTGGAAGTCGACGGACAACCCATTTCAACACTGCTGCGGTTGCATTTATGCCCATGCCTGGCAAGATGTCGGACCACTTCGTAATATCATCTACACTGCACAAACAAATATACGCATGCACAAACATTGGCTCGGCACGAGTAGCTGCGACGGGCGACAGACAAGACAAAACGACGACAGATTGCAGCAACGATGCGTACTCACATTCACTGATTGACCCAACATGGAAACAAGATAAACTTAAGGGTACGTCTGGCTGGCAATTTTTGCAGGTACAAGTGGCTGATCAAACTACCCATCCCCTGTCATGGAATAGTTTCGTTGGTCTAGAAATGAAAACGAAAAGGAACAGGGGCATGATCCCCCTCAGCCCATGAACGAGGGCACTACACACACAGAGAGAGCCCCCGAATGGGGCACACAACAAGGATTGTCAAGGCGGCGGAGCTCTGTAGCACTTTACCGGCCTAGACCATTACCGCCGAACGGGGCATTACACCTTGGCAGCATTAGACCTTTACCATGTCAGATACAAATGCACTGCTGCTACGCCCTATGCGGAGGCGGCATGGGGCGGAGAAAGCGCTAAATAAGCGAGACAATCTAACCGGAGGTATCCGCGTGCACGGATCGCTTTATATAGCAACTCCACATGCCGTCCTTCAATCTCTCCCTCACGCACCTGAAACTGCTGGGAGAAGGTTCCATGAACTGCAAAAGAAGATACTTTGGGCCTCGCATCGGGTGGCTGAACACCTTATACTTGAAGCTGCAAGAGACGAAGGGGGGAGAGAGAGAGAGAGAGAGAGAGCGACAGGGAGACAGAGAGATTTGGCCCCCTTGCGGAGGAAACAAGAACAGATCCCCCTCATCGAGGACTGCCTCAACAGGGCGGCGCTGTGACGGAAAGCCGTTGTAGCCACACTTCCAAGTTGGTCACACTCATGGTTGACAATGAAACGGGATGATGTTGATGATGGTAATGAATACGACGATGGGATGATATCTTGGTACCATGTATGCCAGACCACAGGATTTGCATACAAAACAAAAACACATGAGATGATCCGTAAGGGATATGGTTTCGCCACCTCGCTAGGCCAGACACAAAGGAATGACGTAGCATGAAATGAGATGGAGACGAACATGAAGAAGAATACCCGGCAAGCTGCCTCTCAGGGAACAGGCCGCAGGACCGTTTCTCTGGGGTGTAGTGGAAAGCTTCGGTGAACGGAGCTGCCCTACACCCTGCATGAGAAATCAAAACGAAAAGGAACAGGGGCGTGACCCCGCTTAGCCCATGAACGAGGGTAGTAAGAGCGAATCAATTAATCATGCCAGCGGGGCAACAAGCACCTTTGCGGAGACTGGGAGGCTTCGATCCCCTCTCCAGGATGTCCGGCAGAGTGCTTCCCAGGTCCACGACTGGGTCCGTTTCAGTGGCAACTCCAACTCGCGGAAGATCCAGCGCCCGAGCAAAACACAAGAGGTGTGTAAACTGGATCGCATTCCACGTTGGCTGGTCCACAGTGCCGAAATGGACAATCTTGTGCCACTTCAATCGAACCCCCGAAACCCGGCTGGCAGCATGCAGTACTAAATACGCTTTGCTCACCTGGCCAATCCCAGCCAAACGAATATCTGTCTGGTAAAAGACGGCCACACCACCATCAGGTAATGCCTCGCCGAGGTTCTCTCAGGACTGGTCTAAAAACAAATCGTGCTCTTGAAACTTCTAAGGTCATAAAGGTCTTACTACTGGACATGTGGCCTCCAGAATGCTGCGGACGGCATCCAGGAAGAATGCCTCCCAATCCTCAAAGCGAGGTGCAAATTCCACAACCTCCGACACATCCGGCAGCGATGTCAGGATCATCGAGTCGGCTGAGAAAGTCCCCAGGTCACGGATCCAAGGCAGGGCATCGGCGCAAACAAGCTCTCGCTTGGGCACACTCTTTGTGCCATCGGTCGAACTCGGCGCGGCGTGCGCAGCGCTCTTCGCAGCGCTCTTCGCAGCGCTCTTCGCAGCGCCCTCCGCCCTTTTGCCCTTTGTGCTCCGTGGATCCAAAGCTCCAGGAACCGCTCGACCTCAGGGCTCAGGGCACTTGGAAAAAGCATCAAGCTTCAAGCCTTCAAGCACTTCTTAAAGCACTCTGCAAACCGAAGCGATGTGGGGCCAGCTTGCTCAGCTCGCAGAGCTTGCTCAGCTCGTTCAGATCGCGACTGCGAGCATGGAATCAACCTTCGAGTTGGTTAGGCACTGCGTGCGGTGCGTGTGCGGCGTGCGCCACAAAGCCACAGAGCAGCTCAGAGCCCTGGGTGCTTCTGGCCTCGTCAAGAGCAAGGCCGTGGCAGCACCGGCGGTCCAGGCGATCAGCAAAGGAAGCTGCAGACCGTCCCCTGGCACACATCTTACACGCAAAAGGAGAAAGATAATCCACAACGGGAGGACAAGAACAAGATGAGACAAATCGAGGCAATGTCACGCTATCCCCTTATGAGTTGGGACTTGTGCCCTTGGGCATACTATTCACGTCTCGGGCTTTGTCAAAGGGTTCGTTTGGAGCCATCTGCACATTCTAAATAAACCCGATAGTGCAACGCACATCAACATCGAATGGCTAAACTTTGCTTCCGAGCTCAATCATTGCCTCAAAGCCTTGCTAAGCATGTTGCAAAACGCTCGCAGCGACTTTTGCAAGGTGGATCCCGTGCCCAAAACAAAACTCAAGATGCATGGTGACTCATCCAAACCCTCTGGAACAACCCAAGCTGCATTGAACCGTTGAATCAAATTTTCAATATTTTCAATATCTTCCTCTCAGGCAATCACTTGAACTTTCCAATCTCAATGTAGCACCGAAAAGTGTCCGAGTGACTCGGTGCAGGCACGTAACTTTCCACACTTCGATTCTGTGCCGCCAAGCTCATGTACGGGCAAACAGTCCGTCGCTGGGGACAGATTCGACGATTTTCAACTTCGGGAATTATGCGACTGCACGGTCGGACGATGTTTGGCACTGTCAGATCTGACAGATGACAAATGAAATGTGCATTCGAAGTGCACGTTTGCATGCGGGATTGCACAGTGACACCGAGGGACCTCTTGCGGTTCCCAGTCAATTTTATCATGTTTGCGCAACATTTTTTGTGTCTCTTAAGACCTAGAATACCTAGAAGCTTCGCAGGCAGAACTTGGCGATGCAGCCGTGCTCTAACCGTTCCGATGTTCGACTGCATGCATGCCTTTTTTCCGCACCGCTTGTTCAGAAAGAGTCCGTAAATTTGCTCTCCCGGGTGAAACCCAGCGTCGAACGGATCCCAGTAGCTCCTGTAGAGGGCGCAATTCTGATGCCTGCGAGTCAACTTGAAGTCAAGATGCCCGGAGGCAGATACTGGTAGGGGACCGGGGACAGTGCTTAGCAGTGCTTTTCTTCCCTCGCGCCTTGCAGCAGGCGCCGATCACTACATTCAAGTTGAGGACATTGGGCTTCAGATCATCACAAGTCATTGCCTGGTGTGTGGCGACGGCAACATGAAACTCTTATATGCAGACTACCTTCACAATCACGAAACCCGGCGTGCAGACAGGGGCACTGCAAGAAGTTCCAAAGACTCTTTCCATTGCCAGGTGTCTTCACAGGAGCTTACAGCGGCATTGTATGCTATGTCCTCGGCGGCAGCTGCGAAGCCAAAGTTCACGACCGGCAGAGCATGGCAGGGCTGGGCAGCACTCGGCTGAGCTGCCAACCTCTGGTCTCAAGCCTTGGCTTCGATGCGACGAGAGCGAGAGCATAGCGAGGACATATGCTATCGACGTTTAGGGCAACGCCGAAAAGGCTAGCACGAGACGACGGAGACCCTTCTTTTGTATGGGAAGAAAGCGCATCGCGCCGGGTCCGTCGCCTCCGCCCAAAACTAGGCTGGCCGGCGCCGGGGAAGCTTTGAGCTACCCGACGCGCCGCCCGTGGGCGGGGGACGACCCTTCAGTCTTTTAGCAAACGGCTTCGCCGATACTGGGGAAGCCTCCTCCCCACTCCCCAACACGAGGGTGGTAGAGGGTGGGCCGAAAAAGCGATGTCGAGCCGGGACAGCTGCCGGCACGACGAATCGCTCATGTCCATGCGCACACACGTGTGCTACACGACATATGCTATCGACGTTTAGGGCAACGCCGAAAAGGCTAGCACGAGACGACGGATACCCTTCTTTTGTATGGGAAGAAAGCGCATCGCGCCGGGTCCGTCGCCTCCGCCCAAAACTAGGCTGGCCGGCGCCGGGGAAGCTTTGAGCTACCCGCCCGGCGCTCCCCACCCCCACACAGCGCCGGCACAGCCGAACTACCGGAAAAACTCAAATAGCGCAAGCTCTCAGCTCCGCCGATGCTCCGTGGATGGCGAACTCGAGGTCGCCAGCAGTCTTGGCCAGGATGGCGCAGATTCTGGCCGCCGGTGTGCGTACTCTGGTCCAGCGCATCGCCTCTGCCGTAGCCAGGTCGCCGCGGGACACCGCATCCGCCACATTGGCCTTCGAAGGTACCCGCCGGAAGTCAGGCAGCCAGTCCATTTCTGCTGCATGGGACCAGAACGCCGCCAGGACGCCGTTGACCGCGGGGTCCCTCCCGTAGCCCTTGGTGAGGGCCCACTGGCCGGCGACGTTATCAATGAACGCCAGCCAGCGTTCCGGTAACCGCCGCGCCAGCGTTGTCAACGCCAGGACCTGGGCGACGATCTCGAGCACATAGATGAAAGCCCGCCTGGAGCCGAACGCCACCAGGAAGGAGGATGGCGCCTGGCCGTAGTCATAGTAGGTCTCGCCGCCGACTCTGACCACGTATCCCCAGCCGTTCTTGCCGCGTGCCCCCTTTGGTGTGGGCAGGTCCGCCGGCAAGAAGCCCGCCTTGTGCTTGACCTCGCCTGGCTGGAAGAACGCGTCCGCGTACACCAGGGCCTGCGGGGCGCCGTCGTCGACGAACGGCACAAACCGGAGCCGGATGTTAACACTTGAGTAGCTGCCGGAGCGCCCGGAGGGCCGCCGCCAACCCCAACGACAGTTCTGGGGATGACTCCGCCGCCGCGTCGTGGGCTCTGGCGTAAAGCGGCTTCAACGCCGCCTTGCCGAGGCAGCCGAAGGTGGACTGGGACGCGAAGCTCAGCTTGCCCGCCAGCTTCTGCGCCGCGTGCGGCTGAAGGGCATTCGTCTCCAGCGCCGCCTCGATGGCCCGGAGGAGCTTGGCCACCCTAGAGGGGGTGGGTCGCAGGGACACGCCGTCCGCCTCGATCGTCATTTCCACTCCTTGGACCACGTGCCGGGCCGCCGGCTCCTGGGCCTTGGACGGCTTGGTCTGCAGGCCGAGCTCCAGGAAGAGGTCCGCCAGGGAGTGGAAGGCCGACTCCGCGAGCTCCGGGAGGTCGACGCCGTTAAAGTCGTCCACGAAATGGCCGCCGACCAGCCACAGCAGGACGCGGGTCAGCGCCTGCATCGCGTCCGCGGCCCTGTTAAAATTCCAAACCGACGCCGCGGCTCCAAAACACATGGCCAGGTGAAACCAGAGTGTCAGCCCAGCCGGTGTCGCCAGGAACGTGCCGGAGTGGGCCGGGTGCCGGACTGCCCATTGCCGGTAGGCATTGAGCAGGTCGTGCCCGAACAGCCTGGCCGCCGGGACCCCACGATTCCCTGCCAGTTCCACCACGCGCCGGATGAAGTCCACCACGTCATCCACGAAATGGTGGGTGGGGACGTCCCGCGCCAGGACCGTGGAGTTGTGGCCCGAGCGCCGCCAGTCCTCCCCTCGGCGCACTTTCGTGTTCCCCTCGCCGTCCTCCTGCACGATGGCGAAGGACGCCGCGGCAAAATGGCGGCCAGGGGGCGGCGGCACCAGCCGGTCGGCGCCGGGCGTGTTCAGCACCGGCACGGTGACAATGTTCCATCCAGCCGGCGGGGCCGCCGGACCAACCACCCTGCCAAGCCGGGCCTCCGCCACAAGTTCCGTGAGGAGGGTCTCCCAGTGCTTGCCGGGCTGCGCCGCCGAGGCTCGCTTCCGGACGTATTCCCAGTTGGTCGCCGCCAGCTGGTCCAGGGACACCGGGTTCTGGTAACGGCCGTCCGTCCGCTCCTTCCAGCCGGGGCCACGCCGCACCTCGCCGAGCATGTCGAAGCCCTGGGTGAGGTCCGCCGTGAGGCCTTCGATGTCGGGGTAGCCCACCACGCCGAGGAGTTCCAAGAGGACCGGGATCTGCGTAGGCCGGTCCTTGTCCGCCGTGGAGTGGGTGCTGCGCACCGGAGCCGGGCGCTGGGCCAGCCAGGCCGCCGTCTCCTCCACGCGGTCCGCCACCATGTCTCTGATCTCCTGCAGCACCTCGCCGCGGATCCTGACCACGTCGTGGCGCCAGGCAGCCGCGAGCCCCAAGACGCGTTCTACCGCCGGCTCCAGGTCCGGCCGCCGAGTGACCGTGCAATGGCTCAGTTGAAGTGCCAGCCGCCAGTGCTCGTCGGGGTCGTCCTCCGGCAAGTCGAGTCGCGACGCCAGGCGAGGCGGGGCCGGCCTCGTCGTGGATCATCGCCTCCTCTGTGTAATGCCAGGGGGCGAACTGCCGGGAGTCCGCCAGCCACCTGGCTCTCGCCGGCTCCGGGATCTTGCCCCGAGCTCTCTTCGGCGCCGGGCGGCCGTTCTCGTCCTCCGCCGGCGTGGTGGCGCATGGCAGGAGCAACCTGCTCGACGCCACCGCCGGGTGAAAGGCCATGCCCACCGGTAGCAGAGTGCTAGCCGCCGCCCTGGCTTCCTCCAGCCGGAGACGGTGGAACGGCCCCTTCTTGGTCCAGACCAGGGGGGCGCCGGTGGCCGGGTCCTCCGTGTGCTGCCGGAGGTCCGCCGAGAGCCACCAGAGTCTCGGCCTCGAGATCCACCCGAAATCGGAGGCGCACACCAGCGCCGGTTCCACCCCAAGGCAGTCGGATACCTCCTTGGCCGACGCCGGCTGCATGACAACACTCTCGAACATGAAGCCGACCCGCCAGCCGCGGAGCGCCGCCCTCAGCTCCAGGACGAACTCCGCCGAGCGCAAGAACAGGCTGCCGCGGGCGCCACTGTGGCCCGCCTCCGCGCCGATTTGGGAGAAATCTTGGCAGGGGGGCGCCGCGACGAGGAGGATCACACACTCGCCGGCCGGGTCAAGGCGCTTGACTTCCGCCGCCACCTTCTCCACCGAGTCCGTGAAATCACCCCTCTGCCGGAGCCAGGGCAGCCGGGTGGATGTCAATCGCCGGCAAGTCTTGTCTGTCTCCCACGCCATGGCCGCCCACGGTGTGCCGAAGAGGTCCTCGAGGATGGCCGGCGCCGCCCCGACGCCGTCAAAGAGGGAGAGCAGGATGTACTTGCCATCCCGGCGCGCCGGCCTGGCCGGCTTCAGCACCACCGCCTGTGCTGCCGGGCTCCGGTCGGGTACCCCACCCGAGGCCGAAGCGCCGGGCGGGGCCCCGTGCTGTCCCTAGCGCCTGTGCTTCTGCGGGCGGTCGCCGTCCTGCGCCTGGGAGTCTCTCTTCCCGCCGCGGTCCTGCCACGACTGGGCCCGGTCGGCATTGGCCCACCGCCGATCGTCATGCCAGTCCTGGCGGCCGGGCTGCTGGTTGGAGTCGCCGCGAGGGCGCCAGTTCTGCCGCCAGCCACCACCGCCGCCACCGCGGTTGTTGCGGCGCCGCCTGTTCTTCTTCACCTTCTGTGGCGCGGGCCCGGGCTGGTATCCCTGGTGCGCCGCGGCGCCTGGCGGGCCGTCCGTCTCCGGGTCCGGCGGGTTGAAGCCCTCGCTGACCTTGTTCCTCGCCGGGGGCCGCGGGCGGGAGAGGACATCCAGGAACGGCGCCTGGTCCTTCATGATCTCCGCCGTGACCTCCTCGAACGTCCGGCGAAGGCGCATCTGCATGGCCAAGCGCCGGGAGGACGCGTCCCAGTACTCCGTGATCGCCTCGAGCTGGGACGGGCGCTGCCGGGCCTTCGACGTCCACCACTGGGCGTACTCCGCCGCCCCCTTCTCCGTGGCCACGCCGGTGAGGGTCCAAGCCCAGCGCGCCGCCTCGATGCCGTCGATGACGCCGAGGACCCCCCTCGGGGTCCAAGGGTCCTCCCGGTCATGGACCAGTGCGCCGTCCACCAGCCGGATCGCCTGGCCCCTCTCCTTGTGGCGCCGGATCGCCAGCGGATTCACCTCCATGGCCGCCGTGAAGGTGCGCCGCTGCAAGATCTCACCCAAGCCGACCGCCGTGTACTCCTTCGACTTTGTGTGCTCGAAGTACATGCGCGCCAGCACCTCCTCCGCGCCGAGGAGGAGGGTCGTGGGGAAATCCCGGGGCTCGCCGGCGACCGTCACCTCGTTGTACCGCTTGACCAGCGGCCCCCCTCCGGGAATGTCTTCGGTGGCTTGTCGCCGGGAAGGGCCGGCACCACCGTTCCAGGGGCCGCCGCGGCCGGGGCTGGCGCAGCCGCCGGTGCCGGGACCGCGATGTGGGTGGCCCACTGCTTGTGCGCCTCGGCCCACATGTGGTGCAGGATGGCTTCGACGACCGCCTGCTCCGCCTCCGGCGCCTGGTGCACAGTGCCGGCGATGTCCACCCCGTCCAGGAAAGGCCGGACGACGCGGTCCTCAAACTCCGGCCAGGAGTGTGCGATGAGGGCCAGCGTCGCCGTGCGGTTCAGGTTGCGGGCCGCCAGGTAGGCCGTGAGCTGAGGGCCGGCCCCCGCCGCCGCCGCCAGATCCGCGAACGGCGTCATGACGGTCACCGCCAGCGCGGGCGCGGCCGGGGGCGCCGCAGGCCCCGCAGGAGCCGGAGGAAAGCCCGGAGCCGCCATGACAGCCGCAGCAGCCGAGGAGGGAAGACCTAAGCGGGAGCACGCCGAGGGCGGGCGACAGCAGAGAGCCAGAGAGCTACCGCCGCGATTTAGCACTCAACCGCCAGCAATGGAGGCACACCACAGCCGCTCACTAAGTACCGCCTTCGCCGTCTGTTTTCTCACGAGGACGAGCTGTCCGACTCGGACGCCGAGCTGGACGCTACCGGTGAGTCCACCGGCTCGGTCGGTGAACCTTCACCTTCCCCCGGAGCCGGCGCCGGGAAACAGCGGGCGCACCAAGCGGCGGACGCCGGCTTCTCGGACACTCTGAAGAAGCGCCGGATGCCATACGGCCACGCGCCGCACCTGGACCTCCAAAGGAACTGCTCCGTGCTAGCTTCCGCCGGGTCAGGCCGGTGCACCTTAGCCCCCTTCTCGTTGTAGATGAGGTCCTCCCGCGCCGGCGGGTGTCCGATCCCACCGGGCGCCGGCCCCCTAGGCGGGGCGTCCACCAGCAGAACCGCCGGGGAGAACTCTGCCTGGTCAGCCGGCGTCCCCGGCGATCCCATCTGCGCCGGGGGGTCAGGGGCCTGTGGGCTGGGCGCCACTCCTCCCGCCGTGGCTCGCCGAGCCTCATCGGTGGCCTGCGTGCCACCGTAGCTCCCCGCCAAGACTCGGCCGGGGATCTCCGGGGCCACCGCGAGCGGGGCCGCCTGAACATAGCGCTCCACCGCCGTGGAGGACCAGCGGCCCAGCAGCTGGATGATCGCCGTCGGCACTCCCTTTGATGCTAGCCAGGCCGCGCCGGCGACCCTCGCCAAGTGGCCGGCGAACAGCTGCACGATCTGGCCCTCGTGGTCGACCGTGGTGAGGGCCACGCCGGCAGCCAGCAACACCCGCCGGAAGAGCAGGACGGTCTCGCCTTTGGCCCAGGTGTTGCCCGCCGCATCCGGGAACAAGGGCCCGCCTCGGACCCAGAGGCCGGCCGCTTTCAGCCGGGACACGTGGCGCAGCGCAGCGTGTGCCGGGCACATCGGCCGGGACTGGATGCCGCAAGCGCAGCGGAGCTGCCGCGCCGTTAGCTCTCTCTCGCCACCCTGCGCCGTCTTGTGCAGGGGGATCCGAAGAAGGACCCAGTCCTCGCCGGCCTCCATGTCCTCAGTGCGGGCCGCCGCGAATTCGATTTCGCGCAGCATGAACCACACCGCCAGGAGGAGGGCGTCCGCCGAGTGCGCCGCCTTCCGTGGGGCCCAAGGCTCCGCGGCGGACGCCGGCGAGGGATCCAGCAGAGGCTCCAGCCGCATGGCCGGGAAGATCGCCTTGAGCTTGGACCCCGCAAGGCCACGTACCACCGCCTTGGCGTAACGCCGGATGGCCCGCCGGACTGCGGGTCCACCAGCTCGCCGCGGAAGTGTTCCTGGTAGGTCACCGCCGCGTCGAAGTAGTTTTGCGCCGAGCGGTACCTGCCCTTCCGCATGCTCGCCGCGACCTTCCTGACTGAGTCCAGGGAGATCGGCCACGCGGGCAGGGCCCAGGCCGCCGTGAAGTCCACCCAGGTCCGGACCCTGGACCGGAAGGGTCCCTCCGAGGAGCGCGCCATGATGGCGCCGTCGAGGTCCGCCAGCGACTCCGCCTGGAGCTCTGGCAAGGCTGCCTGAAGGGCCGTCCTCTTGCAGGCCCGCCGGCCGTCGCGCCTCACCGGGATGTCAGCCCTGACCGGCTGCGCCTGGCCCGGCTCCGAGTCACCGGGCGCTGCCGGTTGAATGCCCTGCTCGCCTGGCGGGAGGGCCAACCTGCTCTCCGCCGGGCTGGGCGCCGGGGCTCGACTTGAGCTCTCCGGGGCCGGGCGCCACGCCCCCAGCCGAAGGAGCACCTCTTCTGGCACGCCGGCCAGGAGCAGTGCGCCGGTGTTGTCCAAGGCGCCTCGGAGGTCGTGCACCCCCACCGCCGGCAGGATCGGCAGGAACTCTTGAGCCTGGATGTCGACGAAGGCCCGCGCCACCTGGGCGAACCCGCCGCCGGCCGAGAGATCAACCGCCGACATCCTTGAGCCGGGGGGGAGCTTGAGCCGCTACGACCTCCACGAACGCGCCACGACGATTAGGGTCGGAGGGGGCGGGCCGGGTAGGAGACAGCACTGCCACTTGCGCCGACTGCACACCAGGCACTCACCGCCGGGCCGACTTTTCGCGCCAGGCTATGATCCGAGGCTCTTGGGCCTCCCGACCTGCACTTACGGCACGCCGGGAAGCAACTGCAGGAACTAATTAAAGCATCGTGGGCCAACGGCCGCCGGAGAGGCCCGCGAAGGCGTCGCGGCACCGCCGGGACCCAAAAAGAAGAAACCGGCTAAGGGCTACGCCAGGAGACCTACCATGCGGGCGATCGCCAGGAAGAGGTAGGGCTCGCCGAGGTCAAAGTAGCCCGCCGGCGGGTGGCACTAGAACCGGCCGTCACGCGTGTTCCGGTAGCGCCGGCACGCATCGCACAGGTGGTTGATGTGCGCCTCCAGGTCCACCGTGCCACCACGCCGAATGAGGACCGGGCGGAGGCATCTGCCGCCGGGGCTTTGGCAGACGCCCTCAAAGCCGGGACATGGCCGTCCACACCAGCCCACACACCAGACCTCGCCGGCCAGCCGCTCAGGGATGCGACCGCCGCGATGGTTTGGAACCAGCGAGCGGACTATGTAATCCGCTGCGCCGGGAGACGTGGGCACCACGGCCGTGGCCGCACCGCCGCCAAGCCGCGCCCGATCCTCGAGCTCCTCGAGGGCCTCCACCGAGGCGACGATGGAGGCCATCATCGCCGCCGGGACCGGGACGTCCGAGGAGGCGCCGTCCTGGTTGATCCGCCGAATGTGGTTCTGCCACTCGACGGAGCAGAGCCTGAAGCGAATGTCAACCAGCCGCCGAAAGAGCTCATCATTGTGGCGGCGCTCTGCTTCCGACGCCCCCCGGCCCGGACGCCGCGGCAACTCCGGGAAGCTCTCCCCCGTGGTCCGGTTGACCGTGTAGGTGACGCCGCGGATCTCCATGCGGACGAAGCCGGGGGGGACGGGCGCCTGGGCCGCAGGGCCGGCAGGAGCCGGCTGTGCCGGGGTCCCCGCCGCGATCTCTGCAGCAATCTGGTTCTGCAGCGCCGTCATCTCCGCTGAATTGGGGGCCGGCGTCTTGGCCACCGGCGCCGGCTTCGCCGGCGGGAAAGATGACTGCTTCGCGGATGCCGCCGCCCAGGCCGCGTAGAACTCCGCCGCGGTGACAAAGTTCAGCTCCCTGGCCTGCCGGGCATCCGCCTCCGAGTTGAAGCCCTCGGAGGCCCACAGGGCGACAGGCGGGCCCTTCGGCTTTGGCTTAGCCGGGCCGCCGTCGCCGGGGACGGCTGCTGACCATCGCCGCTTCCCGCCGGCACCGGTGGAGGCCGCTTCTGCATCGGTGGCACCGGCCAGGGTGCCGGGTAGCCGGGCGCCTGCGAAGCAGCAGGGGGCTCCGGGTTGGGCTCCGGGATGGCCTGCCCCGCCGCGGCAGACGCCGCCATATCGTACGAGCCAGAGGCACCAGTGCCGCCGGGAGCTCCATCGTTCGACCCAGATGCTCCACCAACGCCGGGACCAACTGCCGGCGCAGCCGCCTTAGGCGGTGCCGGGTTTCCGCTTCCTGCTGTCCGGCTCGCCGGGAGCGACGCCTGCAGCATCAAAATCAAGGCACGCCTGGCGCCTGCGGGAAACTGTTGGAGGAAGGGAGCCAAGTCCTCCCCTTCCTCCAACGCCGCAAGGATCACCGCAAAGGCCGCCTCGAGATCCACCGCCGAGAAGGACATGGCAAGGCCGGGTGGAGATGCAACAGAGCGTCTGATCGCCGAAAAAGCGATGTCGAGCCGGGACAGCTGCCGGCACGACGAATCGCTCATGTCCATGCGCACACACGTGTGCTACACAGCAAGAGCAGGCTGCTGCTCAGCGCTCAGGCCTTCGCCAGCTTCACGAAGTTCTTGCAAAAGCCAAAGCGACTTCGTCCAGTCCTTCCCTTTGGCACAGGCGCTGACACCTGCGCTGTACGAGACCAGATCTCTCAAAAGAGAACGCTGCGCCGCTTGGCACAGAACGAAGAGTGCTTGTCTCCACCTGCGGGGCATGGACCCAGGACAGACACGCTGACATGGCGGGATATGGCATGGACCAAGCCTCCCAGCTCCACCACATGCGCTTAGAACGGCATTGCTGGAGATGACATCTGCAGCGATCCCAGTTTGCGACAGCAGGCAGACAGCCTCACGGTCAGGGCGAATGCACTGCATCCGACAAAACTCGATGAGCGCTGGCCTGCATCCATTTCTGTTTCTTCTCCATGGCACTGAGGACGGCATTGAAGCTGATGGTGTCCGGCAGAAGGTCATGCTGCAAAGTGTCGAAGACCAGCATGGCGCACTGCCACTCACCGGCCTTCTCCTGGACAACATGACTTGGAAAGTCGCAAAAAGCAGGGGTCCTGTGACAAACTCTCTCGCGATATGATATGGCAAGGCTCACAAGCACTTGAAGCAGCATTGAAGAGGATGACATTGGGAACCATCATCGATTCCAGAGCTCGCTGCAACAAGACAATTGCAAGCTGCCACTGTGCCGCTTTCTCACATGCACTGATTAAGGCTCCGAATCCCACGACATCCTGAGCTTGAAAGAACCCTTCTAACAGCTCGATCCCCGCTCGCTGTCTCGTTCCCGCTCCTTCAATCGCTCTGCTCTTGTAGTTCTATGACTTTTAGGAGGGAAGGGCTATGAGGCTCCCTCCTGCAACCCTCGCTTCCCCACACAAGCTGTTGGGCATCTCGGGCAATCCGAGTTTCAATCTTCGTCCTGCTCAACATCATCGAAGCATACAGCGCTAAAGCAGCTGTCCAGATCCCGGCCTTTTCGCAGGCGCTTATGGCCGCGCTGTAGCTTACCACGTCTGGAAGCGTTAGCCGGGAAGCCATTCTAACGAGCAGGCTAAGGGCAGGAGCCCACTCGCGGCTCTTCGCACATGCAGTGATGCAGGCGTTTACTGCGACGCGACCCGTGCCCTTCAGCTCGCCCAAGTCCTTCAGGGCCAGGCCGCGGCCATGCAAACCCAAAAGAGATCCTAACAGGCCTAGAGGCCAAGAGGGCCTAGAACCGAGAAGAACATACCCCACACTAAATCCTCTAAGATCGCGATAGCAAGACGCCATCGCCCAGCTTGTCCACAGGCACTGATGGCCGATGTGGCCGCAAAGGAGTTCTGAGGCACGGCACCGAGGAGCTCCAGCCCCGTCTGCCACATCGCACAAGTCGCACAGGCCTGGATGGCGGCACCGAAAGTAACTTCCGAGGGCCTCACCGCAAGTCTGGGCATGTCTTCGAAGAGCAGGAGTGCCCTTTGTGCTTCTTTGCTTCTGGTGCATGCGACAAGGCAAGTCGTGTAAGTCACGACGTCAGGAATGAGGATTTGCTCTTGCATCAAATTCAAAGCTTGCAGTGCCTGGGACCAAAGCTGCTTGTGCTCGCCAGAAGCAGCAATCACCGCAGTGCACTCGGTTGGGTTGAAGCTAGAAAGCACTGTGGAGAAATGCTGCTGTAGCATCTGCCAGTTCCTCCGCGGCTTCCCCAGGATGCCAGCGCTCTCTGACGCATTCTCGCCCATCCGTCCCGCCATCCGTCTTGACCTGTCCGACAGCTTCCGGAGCGACCATGCAGCATCCTCTCTCTGTTTGGAGACGGAAAGTGGCAGCAGCCCATGCCGCAGGCATTGCTCGGCGCAGACGTCCTAGCTCACAATGGGGTCGGGACTGAAGCCAGATGAGCTTCAAATGCACGCTATTCAAAAAATTCAAAGTACCCCGTAGGGCGAACAAGCGCCATCAACAGCCATCATCCCTCGTATCTCGCATGCCAACAGTTTTCCGAAACGGGCATCACGCAAATGCAAGGTAAAGCTCTGCACGATTGTTCTTGTCGGTGGTGGACGTGCTGGTGGCCATAAGGATTCCGGCGTGAGAAAAGTGTCAACTAACAAGAGCAAGGGAGGCGAGGCCTCGCCGCTCGCCACTGTCACTTTAAGCTTTCTTGTCTACACAGAACGCTCACCGGTGTACCTGTGTAAATCTGGTCTACATCCTTCAGCAATGTAAGGAAGGCTCCCTTGATCTTCGTGCCACGCCATCGCTCAGGCTGATGTTGCCGTACCTCCCAGCCTACCAGAATTTTCGGGCCTCGTAGCCTTGTCGGCAAAAGATATCACCTGCCTTTGCGTCATCCTTGTGGCCAAGACATACTAATCCTGTGGTGTTGTCGAAGAGCAGTCGTAGTCCATTGGCCACAGCCATCAAATGCACCGTCTGATATGCCAGCAGCATCATTTCAGCGGAGGCCAGCAACAGAGTCGGAAATTCTTCGGTTTCACTGGATCACGGCTGTTGCTAACGTACTCACGGACAAGTCGGTGGTTGGGTTGAGGGTCCGTGGCCTTCTAGGCTGCGGCAGACACCTTTGTATGCCGAGATGCTAGTAACAGCAGTACTAGTCATCGTCGCAGCAGCAGCAGCAGCAGCAGCAGGAGGAGTAGCAACAGCAGTAGCACTAGCAGTAGCAGTAGCAGTGGCAGTGGCAGTGGCAGTGGCAGTGGCAGTGGCAGTGGCAGAGGCAGTAGCAGTAGCAGCAGCAGCAGCATCAGTATCAGTATCAGTATCAGTATCAGTATCAGTATCAGTATCAGTAGCAGTAGCAGTAGCAGTAGCAGTAGCAGTAGCAGTAGCAGTAGCAGTACCAGTACCAGTAGCAGTAGCAGTAGCAGTAGCAGTAGCAGTAGCAGTAGCAGTAGCAGTAGCAGTAGTAGTAGTAGTAGTAGCAGGACTAGGAGTAGGAGTAGTAATAGCAGTAGTAGTAGTAGTAGTAGTAGTAGTAGTAGCAGTAGTAGTGGTAGTAGTAGGAGTGGTAGTGGTAGGGTAGCAGCAGGGGCAGCGGCAGCAGTAGCGGTAGCGGCGGTAGCGGCGGTAGCGGCGGTAGCGGCGGTAGCGGCGGTAGCGGCGGTAGCGGCGGTAGCGGCGGTAGCGGCGGTAGCGGTAGCGGCGGTAGCGGCGGTAGCGGCGGTAGCGGCGGTAGCGGTAGCGGCAGCGGCATCGGTAGCGGTAGCAGTAGTGGTAGTGGCAGTGGCAGCGATGGCGGTAGAGGAAGTAGTAGTGGTAGTGGTAGTGGTAGCAGCAGCAGCAGCAGCAGCAGCAGAAAAAGCAAATTCCGGTAGTATTGTCGCGTGTTGCTCGTTATGTTCCTATCTCTAGGTTCGTTCGATCGTTCTTTGTCGGTTCCGTCGCGATCAATTTCTGCTTGCAAGTAGGGTTAGTTCGCGGTGTCTTTCTGGATTTCCTTCGTCGCGTTGCTCGTGAATCGTTTAGCATGAAAATACCCATTTATATACTTCTCTTCTGTATGTATGTCCTTGATTATTTTGTGCTTCGTTCGTCCGTTCTGTCTTAATATTCTTAATCTCTATGTTCTCTTGTCGACCATTATATCGTTCGTTGTTTCGTGTGTGTCCCTCTCTCGGTCGTTCTTTGCCCGTTTGGTTGTGTCATGCTTTTCTTCCGCCATTTCGCTCTGTGCTTTTGTCGTTATTATTATTCTTCTGTCTTTCCTTCGAGCCCTTACTTGTTGTTGCTTATCAGTCTTCAGGCTAAATAATCCGGTTTTAACTTTGCTTGAACTGGTCCTGTGAGCTTCGAACTGTTGTTTCATGCTTATCCCTATCCTGCCTGGGGTTGCTTGGTGTAGGCCATGAGGACATGCTTTCCAATAGTCTCAGCATGTCTCAGCGCACCGCAGCCGAGAGCCGAGGGACAGACCAGCGGGAAAAGCTCGACTCCAGCACGTGCCCTTAAGGTGTCTGATTCTTTGCACCACGACACCGCGGCCCGGACGGCGGCCCCTCTTGTGCAACAGCTGCGGCCACGAGTGCCCTGAGGGCAACGACCCGGCTGCTCCGTGGTCCCTTGCGGCTTTAGGCTTAGGAGCGCGCCCGCGTTCGCGCGGCCGCGAAGGAGTCCTGCGAGCTTGGGCTAACGGCGCCAAGAGCCGCAGCCCCTGCCGAAATTAGTCCCCAGACAGCTGGAGCCGAGAGGGGCTATAGGTTTGTTGTGTCACAGCGATCTCTGTCAGCCACTGCAACGGTGACATTCATACCAGCAAGGCTTCGAATCGCAAACATGCCGGGCATGACGAAGGCCGACGCGGCTTGTCATGCGGACTCCGGTGTTGGATCACGACATAGTTCGCGTGGCCATGGGCATATGCGCATCGTTTTGCAAACGCAGGAGACACTGCTTAGAACCAAGATGCCGAAGCATCAAGCATGCGGACGCAAACGGCGAACTGCAGTGGAAATGAAGCAGGAATGCTGGGGCAACTCTTGCTCCAGCAGTCTAGCTTCTGTTGTACTGTAACCAGGCGACGCTGCGCAATGGCACTCCAGGTCTAGAAAAGACGCGCCTGTTCGTGTCGAAGGTCTGGTAGTAATGTTGGCAAAACCTGAGTCATCCAGACTGCCCTGCTTCACCATTCGCATGTCGGACGTACCGACTGCTTGAGGAGAGGGCTGCTCGCCTATCTGCTGGAATGCCATCAGTGCCTGCAAATGAAGTGTGATTCAGCTTCATGCAGTATCGTGCGGTCAGTGCCAAACTGGACCAAGACAGTAGCTCCGACATTCACTTCATTTCGTCACTGGATCTTCTTGCCTTCGAGCCGGGGGCACGAGGCCTCTGCGCAGCTCTCTCAGCACAGGCGGCTTGGACGCCAGGAGCTGTGCAACTTTGAGCCGCGGCAATTCCGAAATGCTCAAGGTCAAGAAGTGTGGTATGCACAGCGCTTGAGGCCCGACAAGCAGAGCTCCCCTGTGATTTTGCTGCAGCTTCCATCTTCGGGAAAGCGCGTGAGGCCCAGAGGCCCAGAGGCCACACAGAAGGGGCCGCTCAGGGCGTCTGCGCCCGCTTTTGGTGGCGCTCCTCGGCTCGCAAGCGGAGGAACTTGGAGACCCCTCTGCTCTCTGCGCTCTCTTCCGCCGGGCGTAAGTTCCATTCGGCCATTCGGGAGCTTTGCTGCAACCGCTTCCTTGGGGTCTCCACGCTGTTAAGTGTTGAAAAGCTGGTCTGCTGGCCTTCACTGTCTCAGGCGGCCACCTTTTTCCCACCAGCGTGGCCACACGCAGTGCTTTCTTGTGGAAACCCTGCTCTAAGACCTCAAACGGAAACAAAGACATACTCAGCCACGCTGGCATCTCTTGCAACGCCCACCATGCTCTCGCATGCTAGGCACCAAACGGGTTTGGCCATGAGGCAACTTCTCCTAACATTGCAAGCAGCGTCCGATAAACCCCGACAGAGAGCGTAAAGGAAAGCAAAACTCACAGATGACGTCAAGCTGCGAGCAGACCCAATGTACCCCCAAACCAAACACCAAACAAAACCCAACCCAAACTCGCAAGTACTTTAACTCTCAAGCCTGAGGTGCATGTCCAAAACGTCAGAAACCGCTCAACTTCTTCGTTGGAAGATGGGAGTGTGCTTGACTTCAGCAAGGCCTGGCTGAGACCTCGATCTTGTCGTGATCCGTCCTGTACGCCACGGCTTTCGCCTTTCAGGTGCGCAATTGCCAGCAACAGACACGTCGAATGGTATCGCCAATTCATCCCGGGACCTGAAGGCGGTCATCATCGGAGCTAGGAGCCAGTGGCACTCCAAAGTTCGGCTTGCCAGCGAGCCGCTCTACCTGGTCCATTGGTTTTTGGGAGTCACCCAGGATAAGAAAATCCAACCATGGAAGACACCTCCTCTAGCCTTTGTTCCTCCTTCCGTCGAATTCGATGTGCTTTCCGCAAAACGCTGTTCCTTTGTTGCCAACCGAACAATCAGGTAATTATGTCCGACTGCTTACCACACCAACTGCTCAGAATGAGATCGCTTGATACTGTGCCGCAGCTCCATCCGTACGAATCCTCGCGGTCGTCTTGGAGGTCCTGCACAGGTATATCAGGATTTCGAACTCGACCCTCTCCTTTTTTCGTTTACGGCAGTCTGTCGCAGCAAAGAACAGATGTTGCTTTCATCCTGGAGATCCGATTAAGCCCACGGAAACCTCGAACAAAGCCACGGAGCCACGAAACAACATGAAGGCTAGCATTCCGGATGACAAAAAGGCGACAGGCACACCTCGGGTATCAACCACACAGAAATCATCAGAAATCCAAGAGGCTGGGGTTGGAAATTCGCGATGAAACGGTAAAAAATAGTACAAACTCTCAATCTAGTCGCGGCTATCGGAAACTGCCGTGATACCCTGTCACGGCTTTCCTGCGGACTGTCTGCCCATCATGCTACCTGCTGTTGAGAAAATGCGCTGTTGAGCGAGATGCTAAGCCTAAAGGCCACACAGTGTGCATGAACGGGATGTGGTCACGCCGAAACCATCTAATGCTTGCAATGCGCTCAGTTTGTCCTAACAGCCTAACATAAACTGAGACGGCCTAGTGCATGTTCGAAACGGCCGACTTGGAGCGTATGCTGATCTAAGTGCAAGACGGACTCTTGACGGCTGCAACGATGACGACTCGGAGACTAGAAACGAAAAATGCGGGGCATGTGTTAGACGGGTCTGACGCAGCATGATGCCATAGCATATGACGGAATCGACAACAAAACAAACCGAGAAATGATGAGCTTTCGCCTGCTACTTAAGCCCTGAGAAGTTCTGCAACTACGGCACCGATCGTGCGTTCCCTGCGAAATCCGTGGAGTGTTGTAGAAGAGTGCGACTTCTTGGCCAACAATGCTGCCTCTGCTACAGTGGACAACAGGTGGGTCATCTCGCTCCCGGTGCTTCCGTGACCTGTCCTGAAGGTCCGACAAGCGCGCCTTGTCGTTTCGCTCCTTCTGCATGTCTCCTGAGTGAGGAGTGCCAGTCCCCGGCGGGAAGTTACCCGAAATCAAGTCGATGCAGAGTCCGAGCTGCGCACGGATCGTCTTCTCCACTCGGAACATAGGGTCAGCTTCCATTTGTCTCCGAGTTTCTGGATCCACTAGCTCCAATGTCTCGGAGTCCTGCTTCAGGACTATGGAGCAACGATTTTCAGACACTGCTGGTCCCAGCCTTGCACTGGGAACAACAGACTGAATTGGAAGTCCTTGCTATCCCAAGCTTCGATTTTTCGACGAAGCCCCTCTGCTAACTCGTAATCGTCCTGGCAACATATCTTCCACCACGCAAAACAGACTCCAAGACAGGGCATCAGTGTCAGAACCAGCCAGCTGGACGTTCTTGGGATCGGTACGGATGACTAGCCGTTGGTTGCAGTGTGCTCGCCCTGCGGGGGATTTGCGACAACAAGCATCGACGAGACCCTAAACCCTAAACCTGAACCCTGATCCGGTTTTGCTTCCTTCATTCCAGATCCCTTCAGGATCTGATAGATGCCTCTGCAAGTTTAGACTCACAAAGCTCTCCGACTCCGACTCAGCCAAGCTTTCCAGGACTTCTGTAAGCGGCAGCGATGAACGCCAGAGAGCCCAGAGCAACCCGTGATTGCACATGTGAAACCGGCGGGGTGCCTCATGGAGGAGGGCATGTACAGCCTCTGGAATGGGATGGCTGCAGACTGGGCCAGAGGCAAGGGCCCGTGCAATGTTGGACAGGGCTTGCGGGTCCGGTTCTGGCAGCATTCCCTGTCCAGCATCAGGAACAGCACGGGAGGAGACACCGTGAATGGCTTGCATCTTTGCGGGATCTCAACAGGTGTTGGCCGCATGCTGTGGAGAGAGGTGGGCACACGTCTTCATAGTCTGACAAGCAATGGAATTCGAAGCAGGCCCTCGTCGAGTTAACATGGTACTCAATGCTTGCGCGAAGTTGGCTGCATCCTGACCGGTGTGCTCCGCAACAAACATCTCAGACTGCTGTCCGAGAGCGTTGGTCAGAGGATCATCCCGAAATGCCAGAGTAGCCGTCTCCCAGCCCATGGTTGTAGTTTCCTGTTGCTTGAACCGATTGACTTTCAGCTGGGCCGCGACACAGGTGGCCTCTTGCAGCAGCCTGCCCTGAAAAACCGGCGAGGCAAGCGTTCACGCCGTGGTGGAGAGACCCTGCGGACTTGGCTCCCCGCAAGGAACTCTGGCCGATGTGAGTGAAACAAGGGGCCGACCAAAAAGAGCAACAGCCGTGAAGGCCCATGCTGCGTTTGCAAGCCCCCTGGCGTCCATGTGAGAGATCACCGAGACTGATTACTTGATGAGAGACTGGAAACGAGGATCAGACGGATCCGCCTCTAGCTTTGCAAGTCGGTTGAGCGCTGTAGCAACACTTACCGCATCCAATGCCAGATCGGCAGACTTCTTGGCAGAATGGCCCAATTCATCCAAAAGGTCATAGATGTCCGCTGGTCTTTGGGCGGCCAGGAGGCTCTCACCCAAACGACGCTGCGTTTTGGAAAAGCCGTGCCGCTCGATGAATCGGATCCTCATCCAGGCGCTGGGATGCAGAGCATAGGCGAGAGGCCAGGAGGCATCTACAAAGTTCAAAGCACCAGCGCTCCTTCCAGATTGGCCTTTTGGCAGCACAAAGCTGACTGCCGTTTCCATGGCGCAACATGGCGTCAGGAAAAAGCCAGCATGACCGAGCAGGGAAACAAGGTAGCTTTCAACAATGTGCTAAATCTGGCAGTGTATAAGTCTAAGTCCCTTATCGGTATGAACAGCATGCAGGATAGACTTCGAACCTGCAGATCGCTGCAGCATGACGGATGCAGCTGAGAGACCGAAGCAATAACAGAAATTGCGAAGCATGCCCACAACCAGCAGATGGCGTTCGCACCATTTGCCGACCGTTCGGGGCTGACGATGTTGCCTCAACACCGATACGGCAGAGTTGGTAGGTCGGGTGCATGGTGTGCAGCATGTCTCCACCCGATCGTGCACTGGCCGACTGCTTGCCGGGCTGCCGCAATGCATGGAGAACTCGTAAAGCGGTGTTGAGAAATACATTCCGACCTTCTTCTTGTCCGCCTGCCGAAGACCCCGAAGTGCCGCACCATGGCAGGAACCAGAACCACAGCGCCATCTTGTGCATCCATGCGGCGTTGTATCGCGTGCCCTGGCCAATGTACTGGCCACACCTGGAGTCTGGAAATCTGCTGAGAATGATGCATTCTGCTCAGCAATACACATCGCCCCGGCCTCAAACATTGAACTGTAAAAGGCATCTCGAAGCGAATAAGTAGCACCTGCCGGGATCGGAGTCGGAGCGGAGCAGTCGCCGAGCCGCCAAGCCGCCGAGCAGAAGGTGCTCCGTTTAGCCGAGGCGCTCCTTTGCTGAGGTTCTTCGTTCGCTCCTTGCCGAAGTGATGCTCGAAGCCTCGCCTGACTGGAACTTCGACAGAATGCACAGCTTTGCACAGTGCCCCGAGTGCGCCGGCTTCCGCTGGAAGTGATCCAAAGAACCTCTCGACGGTTTCCATTCCTTGGAAGCGGAAAGCTTCCATGGCCGGTCGATGGATGACGCTGGCACGTGGCACGACCCGGACCCGCCTGCGGATAGTAGAAAGAGTCGGCGCATGCCGCCTTGAGGCTGATGTCCTCCCGGGGCCGCGGTTAGCAGAGGCCACAGGCAGGCTGCAGAATTGCTGGACGCTTTCTGAGTCTGGGCCCGGGCGACCGGAAAAAACGTCCTTGGTCATTCCGCGGTGCTAGGCGTCTCGGCCGCCGCCATCGCACTCATGACACAATGGAATGCAAGGGAATGCTACGACTGCTACGGGTTCATAGGATGAGCCGCAAAGCCGCAAGCCACACAGCCTTTGAGAATCTAACACCTTCGCTGATGCTTAGACTGATGGTACCTGCTCCAGGAGCCCGAATGCCAGACAAGGGCTTGAGCAGACCAAACAGGAATGGTGCAGAGTGTCAGACGCATGGATTCTTCCCAAAGCTCCGACCCATTTCCATCCGACCAGTCATGGGCAACAGAACTGTGCAGGCTCAGAAGCGGCTGAAGATGTTTCCAGGAGCCCTTGTTTGTGCGGTTGCTGGACATGGCGGCTCACGAGCTTCCCTTCTGGGATCACGGCCCCATGAGCATGTTGGGGTCCAGCTGACTACCTCCTTGGATCTCCCCTTTCACCTGCCAGGCTGACAGGCTGGCAGGCTGGCAGGCTGCCAGGCGCAGGCCCAGGTCAGACGCCGCTCGTTTATGCAGAAACTGGCCAGACACACCACCCTCAGGTCCTTGGCACTCAGGGACCAAGGAGCTTCGTCTTGGAGTCTCGGAGCCGCCCACTGGAGATCTCAACGTAAGGCCGGAGCTCCATCATGCAACTTCTCCATCTCCAATTCATGCCTCCCAGCACTCAGCATTTGTCAAACGCGACGGCCATCGGACCGGGCCTCACTACGAAGTCTTCCATAGCACCGATCGCCTGATCCTTCCACGACGGGCGCTTTTCGGGCTCACATGGCAGAGTGGAACCCCGCGGTCCAGCGTGACCCACACAGAGGTCAGGTCGCCGCAGGAACGCTCCTGCCAGGAAGCGCCTAGGGCCTGAACGCCTTTCGCAAATCGGAGACATGCCTGCCAAGAACCTTCTGCGCGGTGGTAAAAACACAGGCCACCGACCTTGAGACTGCTCTCAAGACTTGACGACTGCATCACCCTCCTTTCCGAAATAGAAGACGACCTTCCGTTCTGCCTGACATCGTGCACGACGGCTCCCTTCCAGACCTGGGCAGCACACGGCAAGGGAAGCTTCTTGGCTATTCGGGGATACAAGGGAAGTCCCACATGCTACGATTACCTGACAGTCGCCCAGGTCCGAGTCCCTCACACAGCGTGATACCTCGAGTGGGGTTTGCCTGGCCCAGACTACGGGTTACGAGAGCCACGAGATATCTCTGCGCCGAGCCTCGCCTGGCAGAAGTACTCACCTTCCAGCGATTCCACCACCAGAGCTGTTAGCTCAGCACCATCGTACACGTGCTCGCAGAGGCGGTCACTCGGCTGCAGAGCCTCCAGAACACGATTGAACTCTGCGCACTTTTTTGGCTCGGCCACACGGCACACCAAACGAGGGTATGCTCGATGCCTCGGTCTCTACTGCAAGGCGGTACTCTGTCCGTGGCAGAGGCGGAACGAGTTTTGCAAGCTCTCCCGCAAGCCTCAGTTCTGGCATTTCGTCTCATGACCGGTAAGGAGCTGCAGTGTCAACAACACTGCTGTGTCTTTGCAAAGGTCTCGCAGGAATAGCTGACTTTTTCAAATCGGGCTTTGGCTGACCAGCTGTGCAGTTTGCGTTCACCGTAAGCTCCGCCAGAAGCTCTCCTGCTCGGAAGTTCCTATGCAAGAGATTGATCTAGGGATTGTAACATACGAACAAGCATAGGAAGCTTTGCAAGCTGCGGCCCAAAGAAGGCTGTCGCACAGGAACTTCACACGAGACCTATTGATGTGCTACTGCACCGAATTGTCATGTCGTCTTTGTTGGGGATGGTTGCTGCCTTTTGCTTTTCAGTCACTCCTGCCTTTCTCTTCGGGGTGAACTGCCTCTTGCTTCGCCTGAACTCCTTTGCCCGCTGTCTTTACACATGGATTTGACAAAATTCCTGTAGCTGGCCTGTGTCTTTTACTTTGGGCCGCCTTGTGTCTCTTTCTGGTTCCTCGAGGGCTCTTAAACAGAAACCATGACGGGACACATGTATTTTCTCCGTGACAAAGTTTGTGCCTACCACGACAAGGAATGCGTGCCCTCTACCTTGACAAGACTGCAATTTCTACCGTGACAAGAGAAAAGACCAGAACTTGACAAGGACAGCCTCTACTTGCAGTGACAGGAGATCAGACCATAACTTGACAAGGACAGTCTCTGCTTGCCTAGCTTGGGACAGCTGATACTGACAAAACCGAAACTGTGCACTTTCTTCTTCTGGGCAAATACATCTTGCGTTTCTCGAATAAAACGATGGTAAGTTGCTGGTCTGGAGCATCCGGCAAAATTAAACAGGGGACTGTCCTGTGGGGTGAATATTTGTTGCTTCAATCCTTTCGTTGCTATTCTTCCTTCGCTGCACTTCTTCTGCTGCAAAAACGTTTGGTGTACTGTCGGTGATTTTCGAAAGGAAGATGCAAATGTGCTGATATCCTTGTTCTGCATCTGTTTAGATGATTTGCTGGTCAAAACCAAGAATGCGATTGCAAACTTACGTTTATGAGAATTTCGGCTACCACTTCAAACACGCAGGACACTGAAGCACCATGGCACTCAGGATGCCACGACGCTTCAAATGTACAACAGCAAAGAAACTTTGTTCAACCGCAGCGGCTATGTACTGCACGTCGTGTACGAATCAATGCAAACTTCTGGGTAGCAGCGGTATATGTACGGGTATCACCGTGGGCGCATGAACATGTCTGTGCACGAACGTCCTATCCTATCGCACCACTACCCCGAAACCACCACCTGGAAAATAGCAGTTGAAGTAGCGACTGTGTGTAACAAATACCCCTCCCCAGTGTGAGCAGGGTGGATATTACAAAATAACCCCCTTGAAGAAGGGGACTTGATCCAGAAGGGCCACTGATATTCAGAAGTTTTCCCTAGCCATTCCAAGTCAAATCTATCTTGTGCTCAAACAGACATGCGCAACACGAGCGAACGATGGCGATGACGAAACTTTGCTTCTTGCCGAAACACCTTCGATAGTCTCGGAGTAGCAGAGGATAGCCGACGCTAGAGCAACGGTGGTCACGCGTCCCTCGTCATGGGTGCAAAGTTACAACATACACTAGTTTCCGCCCGATATTCTGGTGGATCATTAGTTTTAGTAGGCTATGCGAGTATACCTGCTGTACTTGAAGTTACTCCTACACGCCATTGCTGACAGGCAATGCATTATTGAGTATGTAGTGGCACTTCAACGAAAGTAAAGCGACTGTTTGATACGGTTTGCAACCCGTAGACTATAGCTGATATGTGTTACGGCTTCTTCCGAGTGGATTTGCAGGTAGATAATATTTTCCATCAGATATCGGTGTAACTTGCATACGCGCTGTGTGTTGATTATTTATTCAACTTCGTTCGTAGCTTTGCATCAAGGCTGGTATGATTTTCTGATCACAAGATTGAAAATGTCAACTGCACTCAGATAGATAAGTAGACAAGCACATACATATGTATATGAGTTATGCACCTAGATGTATGCGTATATATATATATATGTATATCTTTTGGGAATGTCAGATGTGTAAACATGACGCAATACTGTAACTATCATGCGACATCTGGTGACAATAGTTGAATTTTTGTGTCGGCAATTATGAGCATCATATCACAGGAAAGGAACATGGACCATCTCCTCATGAAGCTTCCGAAAAGAACTGGATTAATGACATGAAAAAGTGCTTTTCGGAGCGGATGTCATTCCGAAAAATCACTGGCAAGAGAAAGATAGATACGTATGGTACGCCATATAGAAAATATTATGCGTCACTTGCAGGGACAAGCCGATTAAACAACTAAAACTTGTTTTCGATATGTTACATCCATCGCAACAAACACACCAAACGATCTCACGTTGCAAATGTGGGCTGCAGATGTGGAAGACGAAGAGGGTTTTAGAACGAAGCGGATGATAGAAAACACATTGGTTCGTCGAGAAAGTGATTATGCACCCAAGTTGAACATCCATCGTGGTCCTCACACGGTGCATTGTATGCCATCGTAACTAGCGGAAGCCGCGCCTGCAGATGGGCGGATTTTTCAGCGGAGGACCGGGACCAAAAGAACCAAAGAAACCAACAGAACCAAAAAAGCAAAGATTTGGACGGAGTCTGGACTAGTGTGGAAATGAATCTTTGCTTATGGTGTTTTTGTAGAGAACCCAAAGCAGAGGCTGTACTGTACCATCCGAACAATGGATACCTGCCTTGCATGCGGGTGAGAAAAGAAGCAAAGCCGGAGAACTCGCCGACACACCCACGTAAGCAAACAGGCTTGGGAAAGTCTTCGCTACCCTTCCGTATAAGCCGAATGGGGCTTCTCTTCCGTCTTTCGTGCACGGGAAGGCCAGGCCTTACGCCTTGCCACCGATCTAGAGAAAATCGTGGTTCGCATCATCACCGTCGCCATGATCCGTACCATCATCATCATCATCATCATCACGCGCCGTAGTCAGCATAATCTGTATCATCACGGTCATGCACCGTCATCACGACGTGTATCATGATTGGCATCATGACCTGAGTCCTCTGCTGTAGCATAACCCCAAAACACGGACACAGTCCTTCTTATCTCGTCTTACATCAAACATTATACCAAGCCGTTATCATGATCCATGTCATCAGCGTCACGCACCGATGTCATGATCCGTATTATCAGTGTCATCATGATATGGGTCGTCCCCTTTAGCATAACACCAAAACAGCTACACTGTCCTTCAAATTGCGACCTAAATGACATACAAGACCGTCATCGGGATCTGCACCATCACTGTCACGCACTGTCATCAAGATCGGATGTACGCACGCTGTAATTTTCTTTCAGTCCTTGAACATCTTGGGGTAAGGGTGACCGAGACCGACCTACAACCTCAACCAGACACTTTCTGCGAGCAGTGCAAGTAAGCCGAGCGAAACGGACTGGATTTTGGGTTTGGCTTTCGCTTCCGTGCAAATCCGGCCAGATTTGTC